GCCTCCCGAGTGCTGGGATCACAGGCGTGCGCCCACACACCCGGGTCTGCTGATGTGTATGGTGCCCTGGAGGCAGTCACCCCCTCGGAAGCTCCCCTCTGAACACACGAGCCTCTGGGAGAAATGTTAGGGCTAAAGCCAACAGGAGTCCTCCTAAAAATGTATGTGACGTGCCCATCAATCCAAGCCCTCTGAGTTGGTTGAAGCATGATGTAAATGTGGTTAAGAACGTGAGCTTTGGAGCGAGATAAACTTCGTTCAAACCCTAGCTGTACTGTTAAGGGTATGGTGATCTTAGACAAGTAACCTAAACCTTTCTGAACCTCAGTTCTTTGCTCTGCTATGTGAGAATGATGCCCTGAGTACCTCATTGGGTGGAGCAGTTTGAAGATTACATGAGGTGTTTAGTCTTTGTTGTGGTTTAAATCAAGACTGTCCCCGGGGTGCCTCATGCTCTGCTGGATGGGGCTCGGGAGGGTGATTCCATCGTGGGACATTTTAGCTGACTTGCTGTCAGGAGGCGGGGCTTGTGGGAAGAGGGCGTCACTGTGGGCGTGGCCTGAAAGGCTATTTCCCTCCCTGGCTCCTCCCTTCTATCGCTGCTTCCAGGTCGCCGTGATAGGAGCAGCTTTCCTTGTCCCAGGCCCTTCCACTGTGCCATTTTCTGCACCTGAGCCTGCTAAACATGGTCTAAAACTATGAGCCGAGGTACACCTCTCCTTCTATGAGCTGTAGGTACCGAGTGTTGTCTCCGTGATGAGAAAAATGACTGAGGCAGCCTAGTACTTAATGGAGGACAGCAAGTTGCTATGGCTACTGCAGTTGTCGCTGCTGTTGTTACCGCGCAGTGGGGAGGAATGGCAGAAGTGCTAGAAGTGTGGGCTGTGGCCGTGGAAGAGGGACAGGGGCGGGTACTTGTGTTCTGAGCCAAGGCCACAGCAGATCCCCAAGACGGAGGACAGGTGAGGGTGGGGCTTGCCGCCCTGAAGGCTTCTTGTCGGGGTGACCTCCCCTCAGTCCTGCACCAGCGAGCCTGGCTCCGGGACGCTTAGCCTGGGGTCCCCACCCCCACCCTGTGGACGCCCTGAAGGCTGCATGGCCAGCTGGTGAGCTCATGGCCGTCGGCTTGGCCTGTGAGGCCCTGCACTTCTCCTGGCAGGAGCCTGTCAGAAGTGCCGGCTGGGGGTCAGGATGGGCTGGAAGGCCCGGTGGTGCCCAGATGCCCGTGACCAGCGGGTCTGCTGAGTGTTTGATTACATTCCTGGGCACCCCAGGCAATGCCAGGGCTGGCCGTTCCCACTCCTGCTGGGTCCCGTCTGTCAGCGGCAGAGCTGGCATCCCCAGCCTGGCCCCCACGGCCCACCTGCCTTCCGCCTTCTGCTTCCCCCTCTCAGCTGCAGCCCTAATGACTTCATCTTCCTTAAAGGCACCCTGTTCCTTTGGCGGTCAGGCCTCTGGCCCCTTTCCTGTCACGGACCTTCCGGGTCTTCACACTGTATGTGTCTCCTAGCCGCCCTGGGACCTTGCTGTGTGACCCTCCTAGGGGAGAACCCAGGCTGCCCGAGGGGACCCAGCCCTAGAAAGGACAGTTTGCATTTCATGTTCATTTAGCACTGTGCCCCAGGGGGACCAGTCCATCAGCCAGGTGTCTCCTCCGGAGCTGGGACCACTCACATGGCATCTGCCCTGCGTGCACAGCACATGCCATGCAGCAAGGCAGCAGCCCCTCCACTGCGGTCACCAACAAGTTCCGTGTTTCTGCGACTGTCCCGGTCATCGAAAGTTCCTCGTCCTGGGAAACTCCTCAGTCCCAGACAAACCCGAGTGGGTGGTCAGCCAACCCTATGCATGTGTCTGCACGCTGCCTCTGATTTTCACTGAATGAGCCTGTGCCTTCAGCCCACCCTAGAAGCAATCAAAGGGGTCCAGTTGGTTACATACTAAACTGATATGATCTGTGCTTCCAGACTTTACATTTGCCACATGGGGGGAGTTTACCTCACTGCTCATGTGGTGAATGTGGCTGTGTTGCTCTGGAAAGAACAGCCAAGGAGGTGGAAGGGAGGATGGGAAGAGGGAATGGCCCTGTCCCAGGGGAGAAGACAGCTTTCCCTGCCTGCCTGCCTTCCTTCCTCGAAGTGCTGGGATCAAACCTGTAGCCTGGGGCACACTGGGCAAGAGCTCTACCCTTGAGCTATACCTCCAGCCCTACAGGTTTCTTTCATTAGAAACCTGTAACAGCCCCGTAAAGGCTGAGAACTTTTGATGTCAGAACTGGATGCGAACGCCAGAGGCCAACATCTGCCTCACTGACAGAAGGACCTGGAGGTCCAGGAGGAGGATTTGGACCTAGAGGCCATTCCTCTCTTCTGTGCAAGTCCCTGTGCCACCCCCAGGGGTGTGACTGGTCTGGGGTGGGGCCCAGGCGGCAGGATTTCTGAAGCTCCCCAGGGGACACCGATGCGCAACAGGTGCTGAAGAGCTCTGAGGCTGGTTTCTGTCCCTGAAGAGGTTGAAGAAGTGAAGAGAGCCACACACAAAGCAGAGAGGGACAGGAAAGCCTCAGCCAGAGCCCTGGGGGAACGGAGAGGGAGCCAGGCAGTGCTGTTCAGCAGTTACGGAGCCCAGACAGACCAAGGCTTGAATCTTAGCCTAGTCTAAGCAATTAAAGCTTTTCTGAGCTTCAGTCACTTCATCCAAGGAATAGAGAAGGATAATAGCACCTAATCCATGTAGTGGTGTTCATCATGCAGAGCCCTGACTAGAGCGCCCAATAGTAAAAGCAACTATTGTTTTGATTGCTTCTGGCTCAGGTCAGGGCATAGTCAGGGTGCTCGGAGAGGAGATAGCCTGTCCCCGGATGCACAGGTGCCGTCTCGGGACGTTTAGATGTTCAGAAAGTTAGGCAGAGGCGCACGGGGGTAAGGAGTTTCCAAGTACGCTTGGGCACTCTAGGGGGTCTGCTTTCTCAGTGTGTGGGGACTGCAGACCTGAAGAGCCACGGCAAGGCCCTGGGGCCAGCAGCAACGAGGGTCTGGCCCAGCGTAGCAGAGTAGCAGGGGAGCTGCAGCAGAGGGGCAGGGATGGATGCTGGCAGCTCGTGGGGTTCTGCTCTCCACCCCAGTCCTCCTCCTTCCCTCAGTCCCTGCCCTGGGCAGGCTGGAGCCCCACATGGGCCTGTATGGAGGGCCCCCCGAAGGAAGATAGTTGTCAGACACTCTGTACATGACTAGTCAAAGGGTTGATGGGGCGCCCAGCCACCCTCGGACCGGTTAATACCTAACTAGACCAGACGTGGAGGCTGGGGTGGCAATCAGCCAAGTGGATAAGCGCCCCGGGCAGCCTTTCCACCACCCCTGATTGCAGCAGCTCTCCTCACACTGTGCCCCTAGGCCTTTCAGACAGGGTTGGAGCAGCCTGGAGGAGGGGATCTCAGAGATGCCTACCAGTAGGGGGGTCCTCCTGGCCTCCCTCTGCAGCCTGCTCCACGTCTGTGCCCCCCCCCCCCGGCCCGGGACAGGGCCCTGAAGGCGTGCCCCACAGCGGCTGCAGCATGCAGCAGTTCCATGAATAATGTCTCACCCAGAGCCAGGAAACAGCGAAGAGCCTCCTTCCCCACGTGGAAGCAACGAGGCCAGAATCCTGCTCCTTATGCACAGGATCCAGACTAAACTTTTAGACAACCGAGCCCTAGCAGGGCAGCCAGGCCTCTGCTTCTGTCACACAACAAGGAGGGCAGATCTGTCCCGAGAGCCCTCGGCACAACTGTGACCGCATTCAATCAGTGATGAGACAGATTTGGCAAATTTGAGTCTTTTGCTGTGGGTGACATCAGCTTATAATAATAAGGATGAAAGTATGAAGAATTCTTGTTCATTAACCAAGTTCAAGGTGCTCCATGGAACACCAGGTAAAATTGCTGAGTCCAAACTGATTGCCGGGGGCCAGGGATTTAGCTCAATGGTGCTGAGCCTCCTTCGAAAGCACAAGGTCCTGAGTTCGATCCCCTGGTACCACAAAACAACAACAACAACTGATTGCAGGGAGAGGTAAGAAGCGCCCTATAATTAGAGATGCATTTATTTGCTAGGAAGGCTGCAGCGGGGCTTCAAGACCTGGGGGCAAGAGAGGAACTGCCCTGTGAGGCAGGAGCTATTTCCTATCCCTCTCCACTCCCTGTGTATGAATGTGTGAAACAAACAATGGACCTGGAATGTGTTCTATGATTAGAAGGCCCCCAGGGGGAATCATTTTGGGGAACCAAAGCAGGGGCACCCCATAAAACCTATCAAAGCTGAGATGTCTCCTCTCTGTGTGTGTCTCACAAAGCAGGGGTTCCTGCGGCTCCCATTTTATACGTGGGAAAAGCCGGAGCTTGGAGAGGGTAAGTCGCTTAGCCTAGTAACTGTGAGAAGAATTATCTTTTGTGGGGGGCTCTGTCGGCTAAATGCCTTTTATCAGCCTTTATTTTATGTAATCCTCAGGACCCGCCTGTGAGGGAAGAGCTCCGACTGGCCACGATTTTCATAAAAAGAGGAAACTGAGGCTCAGATTTAGTAACTCCCCCCTCCCCCCCGAGTTGCACAGCTGGCGGCAGGTCACGCCAGAGTCAGGGGCCAACCTTTCTGGTCCCAAAGCGCTGGAGGTGCAGGGCCTTGGGGCGTGGTGGCCGTGTCTGGTCTGGGTGCGGAGGAGGAACAGGGAGAGCCCTGGCCTGAGTGCCCAGCGACCTTGTCCGGTCCCTGGCTGTCTCCGGGTAACCTCGGACAGCACTCACTGCCTGCAGCCTCAGTTTCTCCCTCCGTGAAACCGAGAAGGGAGGTGGAGATGGGCCGGATTTCTCGGCTCCCTCCCAGCGGTCGTTTTCCAGGACTCGATTCCCCACTGTGGGTTCTGGGCCGCAAACCAGTTGGCTCCGGACCGCCCTCTCGGTGAGAGGAGCGCTGGCAGGAGGAGAGGATCCGCCGGGTTCTCCCACCTCCTTTCTCCTCCTCCTCCTCCTCCTGCTCCTCCGGGCCGGGACACACCTACTTCAACTTTCTCAGCAGCCTCTAGGGCTGGGGCTGCGCTGAGCGAGCGCCTTCCTGCTCCACCGCTCCAGCTCCCGAGCGTTTGCCGGCGGCGCAGGGCTCCACCCCGGCCGCCCACTCCGCTCGGGGCGCCCTCCCCTGCCCCAAGGCTCCAGGTAAGAACTACTGAAGGGCGGACGCGGCGGGCAGGGGTTGCACAGCGGATCCATGTCCGTGCCTGGTTCCAGAGCAGGGCAGTCTCGGGGGAGTCCTGAAGGTGGGAAGGAACCGGGAGCCGCAGGGCAGGTGTGGAGGGCAGCTGGGACGCTGGGGCCACCGGCCCTGGAGCCCCTAGGCCCCCGGATGTAGCCAGCCCGAGCCTGGGCGCTGGTGGGACTCTGACCTCATGGAGGGGGAAAGGTCACGTTTGCACGTGTGGAAAGCTGGACTCTTGTCCTTGGGAGAATCGAATCTGCTTATGCTTCCTGGGGACGAAACTTCATGGGGATCTGGGGGAGATTTTCCTTCACAGTTTTAGGGGGAAGCCCTGGGGCTGACTTCTTGTGTATGTGCAGTGGGACACAAGAGCCCTGTCACAGACAAAACCCCTGAAGAGGAGGGAGGGCCCGGCATGAGCGGATAACCTGGCCAGCCCGTTTCTGCGGTTCTTTAGAGGGACCCAGGTCAGATCCTTGGCTTTCGAGGTGGTGCTGACACGGTGGTGGCGGGAAAGCAGGAATCTGATGCTATCTGGGGAGGCAGAAGAGCTGGAGGGGAAGCTGCGCAGAACCCCTGGGCCAGAGTTCAGCTTCCGCCGGAGGGGACGGGCTGTCCACCTTGATGTGGGAGCAGCAGAGTCTCACTGAAGTGAGCCGAGGGCTCGGAAGGCACCTCTGTCCCCAGCGGGCGTCGGAGCTGGTGCCTGGGCTTGGGTGGAGGAGGCAGGTGGAGAAGCAGACCCGGGGTTGAGTGCTGCTCCTCCCGCCTCGCTGTGCAGCTGGGAGCGGGCACGGGGACCCTCTATGTAGACACCCTCAGTGGCTGCTGTGGCTCCGCTCACCGGATACTTCCTGTGTTTGGGGTGTGGGCTGAGTTTGCAGGGTCTTGGGCAATTTTCAGCTTTTCAGAGCTAGCCTCTGTGGCGGTGGGAAAAGAGAACTCCTTGGTCATGCGTCCGTGACTCATAGGATGTAGAGCAGTTTCATACCTCCCCTGGCCAATTTCTCTACTTATGCAGTACAGGTGTTGGGTGATTGCTGAGATTTGTTCTCAAGCGATTCCGCGTGACAGCCCTGTTGGGAAGTCAGGTGGGAAGGGTGTGGAAGAAACTAGGGGTTCAGTGTCGCACACCCCAGGAAGAGGCAAGCGTGGATGCTCCTCGGGGTTGTGTGTGGAGCACCTGCCAGACCTCGCAGGAAGACTCTGGACCCACTCTGTGGGCTAGCCTGACAGAGTGCCATGGCAAGTCCCCTGTGCCACTAGCTCCCGCTGCCTCCGTTTCCTCATCTGTGATATGGAGGAAGAACCAGAATGAGTCCCGGTCTGTGAGACTTCCTCTGATTCCGTGACTTGTAGTGGTCTAGTCCTTAAGGACGCAGGGGACCAGAAGCAGAGGGACCCTGACGCTCCTTACCTGCTACACGGAAGATATGCCTGTGTTTTCATGGGCAGGGGCCACCAGTCCCGCCACACTTGTCCTCGTGAGTCGGGTGCCATGCTGTACTCCCTGTGCCTTCTCCCAGACGTGACTGAAGGTACGGTGGCCTGGACGTTCTCCTGCTACTGATTCAGTGACAGGCTGTGGCACCATACTGCTATCGGCCAGGCAGGGCTGGGGGTTCGAGCCCTAGAGAAACCAGTGCTCACTTGGGGCTGATGACATTGTCTCTGATGAGGACCTTCCTGTGGCCTGGGACTGGCACTGTCTTGGCTTCCTTTCACTAGGAGGTGGGCACAGCCTCCCATGGCCTCTGCCTAGCTAGCCAGACCTCAACACCAGCATTGCTGTGACCAGCAGTACCAACACTCCTGCAGTGGAGGTTTGCAGTCATGTGTAGCAAGCAGGATGTGGGTCCAAATCCCAGAGATGGGGTGACCGGGCCATAGTCTCTCTGTAAACCTCAGTCTCTCATCTGAGATGTGGGGAGAATCATCATTCTTCCCTCAAAACAGACTGGGATATAAATGGAGGAATGCGTCTGAGGTCAGGAACGTCACGCACAGGCCGTTTATCCTGTTTCCAGCCATCCGAGAATGGATCCCCTCCTCCTCCTGGATGATTATCATCTCTGCCGTGTGCTTTCCTAAGGCGGATCACAGTTCTGTTGTCCCTTCTCCATGTCACTTCTGGGTGATATCGTCTCTCCTGTTGAGCTCTGGGCCTGGGTCCCGCTCACTGATGGCTTGTGCTGGTGTCCCGCGTCTGCTGAGTGAAGGATGTATCTCTAGTCCTAATTAACTCACAGATGAGGACTGCTGCTCAGGGCTCTGAGTGCGAGCCCCGTGGAGCACTGAGCCAGACAGATGGCAGCACGGGCCTTGCCAGGGAGGCCCGGCCACACGCAAGACCCACATCTTTTGGCTTTCCTCTGCCTCGCTCTCTCTAGCCCAGCTCAGATGTCTCTGTCTTCGGTGGGCGGTGGCCCCACATCCCCTGGGGCAGTGTGGGGTCCGCAGTGGGGTTGATCAGTGGACTGCAAGCTGCCCTCCCAAGTCAGAACCCCCTCAGTGCCTGCTAGCGTACACACACACACACACACACACACACACACACACACGGCTCCATCACTCTTGTCTCTGATCAGTAGCCATCTCTCACTGTACACCCACAACGACCCTCGGGAGCCCCTGAAGCCCCCTCAAAGCATTATGGGTCCTGTTGTACAGGTGACGCCACAGAGAGGGTGATTGCCTGAAGTCACAGTGCTGGTCTGTGGTGAGCTCCTAGGTCAGTGAGCCCTTGGCAGGGAGCATCTGTGACTGGGTTTAAAAGGGGAAGAGACAGCTCTTGTTTACCGGCCCCATGTGCCCATCATGGGCCTGGACTCTCAAAGACTCTCACCATCTTCTAGCGTTTCCTGTGTTGTTGCCATCACTCTCCGTGGCGGAGATGGACAGAGACAGACATAAGGTAAACCACTTCCTCTAAGTGGCACACACTCTTAGTTCAACAGACCCTTCGGTGAGCACGTGTGATATGTCAGGACCCCAAAAATTCAGTCGGGGGAGACAGACCCACAAATGGATGCTTTAATAGTTTGAGGTAGGCGGAAAAATATGGGCAAACTCAGGCTAGTACAGGGCTCAGAAGAGTCCTAGTGCCTCTGTAACAGGCTCAGCGAAGGCTTCAGGAAGGAGCTGCACGGATATCAGTTTTGAGGGAGTAAATGAGAGTTAAGGAAAAGTGGAAGCCAGGCTTGGTGGCACACACCTGTTATCCTGGCACTTGGGAGGCTGAGGCAGGAAGATTGCGAGTTCCAGTTGGGCTACATAGCACGACCCTGTCAAAAGAGAAGGACGGAGGGAGGAGAGAAGACAAAAGGGGAGAGGGAAGGCTGTTTTCAGATTTCCAGAGAGAAGACGACTAGGCAGTCACCCAGGTTACAAGACAAGAAAGCGGCAGACGAGCGTTGGAGGCCAATGAACAGGGCTTTTTAGAAAAATGTAATTTATATATAGCTTTTTCTTAATGGGAAGTTATAGGCTATACAAAAGCAAGATAACGTCACCACATTCAACGATTCTGTTTCTTCTACACCTCCGCCAATTTTTCCCTATAAACTTTCTCTATTTTGAAGCAAATCCCACATAGGTGATTGCATTTGAGAATATTCCCACGTTTATCTTTAAAACGTAAAGAATATACCGCAGGGAAAGGACTTGGACGGACGTAGTAACCACCAGAGAATGTGGGAGGGGTTAAGTCCCGCGGTGCCTGTGGGCGGAGCGTGACCTCAGCAGGGGTCAGGTTGAATGTCCTGCCTTGGCTGATGGTAGTGGGTGATATTCCGAGGTCACTCCCTGATCAACAGGTCATCTTCCCAAACCCACCTCCTCTGGAAAGGGGGGGCCTTAAGCGGTTTCCAGTTTGGATCTGCAGAAAAGAAAAATCCCTGCCTTCTCCTTCTATTTCTGGGACAGGAAGGGCCGGAAGCTAGCGGCTCTCGGCTTCCCCCCCCCCCCCCCCCCCCGGGGGGGCGGGGAGCGCCACGGAGAAGTCTGTGTTCTGTTGGGCACCAGTGCCCAGGGAGCTTGGCCGGGGCGGCCGGGGAACAGGACACTACACGCCGGCCGTGGGGTAACGTTGGCGTGTGCGTGCACGTCGGCCGCCTGTGCTCACTTGTCCTGTCAGAGCTTCCGCCCATCCGCAAGGCACCCCCTCCCCTCGGTCCTCCTGACAAACGCAAGGCTGCCTGGTGTAAAGTGAAGCGTTTGGGCCGCCTGGACGTTTAGCTGGGGGCACAGAGGGCCTGGTGTCTGAGGCCGTGGTTGTGGCCGGGAGCTCAGACCCAGCCCTGGCCTGACTGCGTTCCAACTCTGTGGCCACTGACACCTGACTTTGCTTCTTGAGGGCTGTGAGTTCCACGGAGAGAGCCTGGCATCACCAGGTCGTCCAAGCGCTCACTGAGTGGTCGCGGCTGCCATACATCTGGGAGCTCTGCAGCCCTGGGAAACTGACTCTGAAGACCACTGCATCTTGTAAAATTCAAATCCTAGAGTCTCTGACTCTTGGAAGCATGAGGTCAGAAGAACACTAGTGGAGCCCTGGCATGCTCTTTATTCAGCATCAAGATTTGCGGTACAGGTCCGAGGATTTAGCTCAGTGTTTCCACTGCCTGCCTCACAAGCGGAAGGTCCAGAGTTCGATCCCTGGTACCAAAAAAAAAAAAAGATACTGTGATACAGTGTCTGACAAAGGCTCGGCACGATCTTTTAATTCTCTCCTTGTAAACATTCAAAATCAGAGTGGACACATTGGAAATTCCAGCAGATAAACTTTTATAAAGTGAATTCAGACCGTGACAAACCAGTAACCAGAGCAAAATGCAGATGTCATTGCCCTGCAGGGGCCCCTTTGCCAAGGTTGGCTGTCCCCAGCCTGCCAGCCGGTCTCAAACACCTCAAGGATGGCGTGGCCTCTGCTTTCAGGGCCGTGCACCATGTTAGAGCTCTGCTC